CCTTGCCCAGTTAATTTTTTAAGTCATGAATTCAAACTTATTACAGAAGGTTTGAACTTTGATAGCTATCACTCTATCAAAGTGGACTCTAGAGAAATTAACAAATGCATGAAAATTAAACTTAAGTATTTAACTTTCTCTCCCACTGTTCAATGCCTTCCTCTTGTCTTCCCGGTGGCATCCAAATGTCTCCGCACAGTATATGAGACTCTCCAGGCCGGATGTCGTGGCTCAAGGCCTGTAATCCTAGCACTTTGAGAGGACAACTTGGGCAGATCCCTTGAGCCCAGGAGTTCGAGACCAGCCTGGGCAACATGGCAAAACCTCATCTCTACCGAAAAACAAACAAACAAGCAAAGACACCCAAACTTAGTCAGGCACGGTGGCATGTGCCTGCAGTCCCAGCTACTGAGACTGAGGTGGGAGGATCGCTTGAGCCCAGGAGGTCCAGGCTGCAGTGAGCCAAGATTGCGCCACCGCACGCACTGCAGCCTGGGTAACAAAGTGAGACCCTGTCACACACACAAAAAATAATAAATAAATAAATAAAGGACTCCAGATCTGGCTGGGACTCAAATTTTCAGCCTCAGTTCCCATTAACTCTCAGTCTTGAACTCCACCCTAGAGTTCTTGTATTCCTCAACTTTATGATACACTTCCTGCTCCAACATCTGTCTTTGTCTTGAAGTCCCTTCATCCTGGAAAGTGCTTTCCCTATCTCAACCATGGGAAATCTTTTATCTCCAGCTCAAACACCCAGTTCTTTTTTTGATACAACCATTATCTCCTCAGCTAACTGGCCATGTGGCTGATGATGTTATTATACTACATAGCATTGCTTGCCTTGCAATTGTATTACACTTGTCTCCTTGACTAAAATTTAGTTTCTTATGGTCAGGGGCTGCTTTGTTTTATTCTTTTCCACACTGATTTAGTACCAAAACGGATGCCTTTCCCAAAGTAATTCCTTAATAAATTATCTGTCGAACCAAAGTTACTCCCAAAATACAAGAACAGAGCTCTGAATGTTGCAGTGCCATTTGTTGAAATTTTGTGAATCCTCCAAAAAGGTTAAGGTGGTTTGGGTGTGCTCACAATGACTGGCTGTTCAGTTTTCAGCACTTAAAACAACTCTTCCTTGCCGTTAAAAACCAATACACATTCATTTTAGAAAATGTGTGAAGACACACGCAAAGGAAAAAAATCATCGGTAAACTACCTTCCAAGGGTAGTTTACTGGATTTTCCCCTGTACATATAGAAATATTGTTTGTTTTCTCAGAAATACTCAACAAAGGCAATATGGAAATGTAGATAAGGGCACATGGGAGAACAGGGGCGGATGTGAACTCCCAGGATCTAGTACTCTGTGATTCTATGACCCTGGTTTAGTCTCTCTATCCCTCTCAGGGCCAGTTTCTCATCTGAAAAGTAGAAATATGAATGCTCTTTTTTATTCCTACAGGGGTTTTGGAAAGATCAAATTATAAAACATTTGACAGTATTTTGTAAATTGAAAAATACTGTATGTCTGGTTTTATAAGTATGTTAACTGAATAGAAGATGACTCTATAGATAGATGGAGTGATCAGATTGAATCCTAAATAATAATTCCAGGTGGATGGACTTCTGCCTAGCTCTGTTACCTGACTTACAAATAATCTTAACTTCACAGAAGGGAAAGGAACTTTTATTAAGCATCTATTACATGCCAGGTTCTGTGCTATCTGCCTTACACTTGTCTTCCTGTAGCACCACAAAATGCCCTTTCATACATGAGAAAAACAGATTCAGTGAGCAAAGCCACTGATATTGTAAGATTAAAACCAAGGTGCATCTGATTTGAAGTCCCATGTTCTTTTCTATTTTTCAGTTAGAGGCACCTTTTAGGGAGAGCATTTTCATGGAATTCCTCTTATTCTTGTGGAAATTCTTACTCTTATAGAAACTTTCAGAGTGATGGAAGGGCAGTAAGATTGGAAACATGAGTTATTTTGATACAGATTCCCTTAGGAACGTTTAAAGAAGTTGTGATTATTTCATTATTTCATCTTAGAAGAAACAGTGAACTAACTTTTTTGTTTGTCTGTGTTGTTTTTTTGAGACAGGGTCTCGTGCTGTCACCCAGGCTGGAATGCTGTGGTGCGATCAAGACTCACTGCAGCCTCAACCTCCTTGGCTCACGTGATCCTCCCACCTCAGCCTCTTGAGTAGCTGGGAATAAGTAGCTGAATAGCTGTGGTAGTAGCACTACCATACCTGGCTAATTTTTTGTATTTTTCTGTAGAGACAGAGTTTCACCATGTTGCCCAGGCTGGAAGAGTGGACAAATTTAAAAAGTGCTTGTTTACAAGCTCATTAAAGGAAATAAATGGCAGATGTTGACCTTTTGCATGTAATTTACCTAAAAATATCTTAAAATATAATTTGGAAGTTTTTATAGCATGGCTTCTTTAGACCTAAACAGAGCTGCTGAAGGATGTTATAGAATTTCCTTCTTGATAAAATATTTGTTTTGAACAAGACAGGCTTATCTTTTTGGTACTTATTCATAGTCCTAATTGGAGGTGGAAAACTAGACTCAATCAAGGATGAGCATTCAAGTAAACATGGAAGAAAAAAATCATTATAAATTCTGCTGAAACTGTGATTAAAATAAATGATACAGCACAGAGGATCTAAAATGATATTACAGTACAGAGACACATGAGGGTGCTCTAACCAACTGCTATAATAAATAAATTGTTCAAATATTGGGGAAAAATTAAGGCCCGTGGTGAATGGCAGTGATGAATTCTGACTTTTAACATTAGCTAAACAGAACAATCTCAGAATAGATGGTGTTTTAAAAATAAAATTTATTGCTCTCCCCTACCTCTCCCAGTTTAAAAAGTAGATGTTCATATTGGCCAATTTGGAAAATACTGAAAAGCACAGAGAAGAAGAAACAAAGTGGACTGATGTTACCGTCAGCCCTGGGAGGTGGGGGCTTTCTAGAGCCTAGAGCCAAGCCAGTTGGAGGCTTAGCTCAGGAGGCCTGCCTTCAAACACAAGCCCAGCCTGTTCTCATTTTGATTCCACAGACCTTCTGCTAGTACGAAGGGGGAGTAGAGACTGGGGGTCTAATGACCGCAAGAAGAGAATTAGAGACGCATGTTTATCTCAATACATTTACTCTCATTAAAGTTCATATTCACTGACATCATGCATCTCCTTGAAAAAGTCTGCCCACCCACCATTAATTAAAGCCACATTTTAAAAAGTCAGCGTGTGCACTTTTATTCCAATCAAAAGTAGCCTCCTAAGTTTTGCAGAGCAGGCAGGAGAATATCTGAGGCCTGACAGCTGTTCACCTCTACATGGTGAGGAATCATGTGATTTACATTAAAAGTTGTGTTTATTCAGGGCCTAAAATATAATAGGTATGATCTATTGTCTTGAAGAGTTGAAACATTCAATATCTAATGACCTATTTAGTGAAATTAACATTTATTTTGATAAGTCAATGTTCTTTTGGATACAATATCTGACCATATGCTTTTATCTTTCCAAATAGAGAAATCTAACCATATACCCTGTTTGAATGATTAAGCAGCACACTCCTATCAAAGACACCACACTTTATAACTTATACATGCACTATCAATGTTAGGACAAAGGTCAGTGTAAATTTTTTTATCCAAATCATTGCACAAACGGTAATTACCAATAGTTGTAGGATTGCAAAACCATAGTCTATTTTCTTGGCAGTAGTGACTGTAAGTTCATAAATTCATGAAAATTAGGAATGTTGATTTTTAAAGTTCAAGAAAGGTACTATTTGTAAACAGTTCAGGTCACACTCATGTTATACCATGTGCTAAGCAAGAGTTCTTTCCTTCCAACTTCCTTTGAATGAGATTTGTTCTCTCCAGGAGCCTAGTAAAGGGGTTTTCATCCATTCTTTTCTATTATTTTTCCTATTAAAGCCCCCCCAGGGACCGTTCAATTTTATGCTGATTTTTCTTTATATATTAATATCAAACACATTTTTATGTTGTGGTGATAAAAGACAAATTATGGTTATCTCTTCCTATTGGCAATTAGATTATTCTAGAGTAGTTCTGAACAAATATTTGATTCACCCAGCCAGTTAATGCATTCCACACAAAAGTATCAAGTACAGCATTACATTCTGTAGTTATTCTGGTCATACCACCATACCAAAAGACATGGGTCATCAATGGGTCGGAACATTGGCATTGAAATGGTTTAATCCTAGGGTAAAGCACCCCTGGACTAGGTGTTGAAACCTGACTTTCTAGTCCTTTCTACTAACTTCCTTGTGACCTTGAGTACCTTGAGGGCCTCAGTTTCCTCATTTAACAAATGGTGATTAGAGGGGGAACACTGACTGGAGCCCAGGAAGTTAATCAGGTCTAGAGGAGAAGGGGACAGAATACCCTTTGGGGATCATGTCTTCCCCTGGTCCACTCACTTATCCAGCACCAGAAACAACAAGGTGGGGTTTTTATGAGTGAGACTTGGGTCAGGTTCCAAAAGAGGGCATCCCTAAATCTAGAAGCAGCCAACGAATCATGCTTGGTGAGTTGTTCTCATGATACATGTAAGAAAAGATGCTCTGGGTCTTTACATCCCTTAGATATAAGCATTCAATGTCCCGTTGCTATGTAGGATGAAGCACTATCCTAACCCACAGATCGTATCTTCTGCTTAAATGATTAGTGTCCAGAGGGACCATAAAAGACTTGAATCAACACAATGCCAAACGCAATGGGTGGACTCCTTCAACTAGCTGTAGGAAGGAAGGTGGAGTGTGGGTGGGAATAATTCAACCTAGTTGTTGGTATTCTTCAGAACAAACAGCAAATGGCTAGCGGATAGTAGGAAGTTGTGACTACACAGCATTTTATCAATTCTAGGGAAGTTTAAGATACGCTCTGCCTAAGTGGTTTATAAAGCCATGCAGCCTACAAAATGAACACCGTTGCATTTCCGTACCTTCCTGCCAGCTCTGTTGTTATGAAGATTCATCAGGGCTCTGGCATCCTTTCCTTTCCTTTCCTTGGCATCCACGAATGCGCGGGCAAATTTGATCCCATAGTCAATGTTATCACTGCAGCCACCCCAATCAAAAATGCCCTTGCTGTCCTTGGCGCTTCCCATCTTCTTTGGATCACAGGAACAGGATTTTACTTCTCCTTGGCTACAGGCCCTGGTGATGGCAAATACAACTCCAGCTGAGGAGATGGCATAAACAAAGGCAGATTCCCGACTACCTGAAACAAAAATGCTTTTCTTAAAAGGGGTCCGGTAGCACTATTTCTGAATAACTTTCATATGATAATTGTTTAATACTTGCTCTGTTTCAGACAACCTTTGCCACTAGACAACAAGGTACTGATATTCTTGAAGGGTTCGTTTCCAGAGCCCGGGTTCTTTCTTTAATATGAATCGTCTCTATCTAACAGAAGTTTTTGTCAATTTAGATATCTATATGGCAGCTCTTCTTAAATAAGGAGTATCAAAGAAAAAGATGGCCTTGCCCAGCTCCTGGCTTCACATTAGTCTCAAACACAGGCTTGCCCTGTTTCAACAGAGAGCTCCAGATGTCCTAGAAGAGAGGAGCATAGCATCTCTAGGCCTTTTTCTTTACAGTCTGAATGCTACAATTCTATCATTCCACAATATAGTTGGGAACTCATGGCACCACAGCTTTCCTCAAAAAATCCTTCCAAACCTCCAGGACTTCCTGAAGATACTCATATGCATTTAAATTATTGAGAATGAAATACTGAATTCAAAGAAATCTAGGGACCAAGGTGGGAAGAGAATTCTGGCAGTAACCAGCCCCTTGCATTAACACGGGAGAGCTTTGGCTTGGCATTGACTTTCATAAGTAATTGAGAGATTGCTGAAGGCAATATGCAATATCCTTGAGTTACATACTATATGTCTAACTATTAAGGTGAATTTACTTTCTTCTGGAACACCTGCACTAATCACTGGTATTGGGTAAAAGACAGTGAAAAGTTTTTCTTTGGTTTTTCTGGAAGGAAACAAATTTACCGCCTATAATTAGACTTGGGCAAGAACCCTTTGGGGTGCTTTCTTAGAATTGTTCTTTATTAGAGCACAGGCTACTTTCACTTACAGGCTGAAAGGTACATATTTCAGTGCAATAACTACATTAAATTATTTTAATAATCTGTAGTAACTCATAACACGGTGTTGTGGTATAGTGACAGATATAAGGCTCTTTAGGGTCCGTGTGCACCTCATTTTTCAAGTGGAGCTGTATTTCATTGTTATTAGCATGCCCTTTTATTAATGGTTGCTGCAGCAAATATATTAACAATCAAAATAGAAGCTGGACAACCTAATGCCAATGCAAGGCAGAAAACAGAGAACCATTCGGTGATTCAATATGTCAAGAGGAGTGTGACTTTTTGAACCACACAGCTGGGAGAGCAAACCACCTTTTCGCATTGAAGCCCTGCTTGTTTCCGTTTGTCATTCAGTGTTAAAATTTATTATACGTCCCTTGCAATATTTGCTCTGCTAGTCTCATTATTAAAAATCAGGAAAACATATCTACACCATATTAAATGGCACTTACCTCAGCCTTCAGAAAATAGTTACCCCCCAAACCTCTAACCATCAAAAAAGGAATCAATCATGCCCTGTAGTTAGGTAAAATCAATTACATGACTATTCGCCATAGGTAGCAGGTAGTCCTCCCCAGAGGAAATATGATGGTTATGAGAGCTATTTTAAAGAGTCCCAGCTTATACTATACAGATCACAGATATTCTAAGTGGAATTGAGATGTTTTGTAAAAGAAGGTGACTAATACACGCTAATGTGACTTAATCTCAGGTAGTGGCTTTCAGATAAATAAAACTTTTATTATATCCATTTTACAGTTTAGGAAAATACCTTTTCCATAGTTACCCCATTTATCTTCTAAAGCTTCATTTGGGATTTAGAAGCCAGTGCCCATGTTTAGAGAGATCACATAGAGGAGGAAATTCCCAAAAGCTTAAGTATGTAGCACTAGTCTTGTTTTTTAAGGAGAAAGAAGAGACATTTTATGAGGTGGTCTGTTACGGGAAAGGCATGGAAGATGGGGATGATAGTATATCAGGTAACCAGACAGTACTTTGAAAGCAACAAGAGAAATAAATTGTCTAGGCGCAGAATTCATGCTGGTATAACTTGGAAACAATTACATGTTGACTGAAAGAAAACAAATCACAATCTGCTTCATTTCAGAAATAATTTCCAAAGTAAAAATATGACTTTTCTAAATATTTGTCATTTATTATTCAAATACATTACTAAATAGCTAGATGTTCCTTTATTTAAATTAAAAATTTAGCACATTGACTGGTTTTTCATTTTACCCCCAGATGGTTTGGTACCATGTAGATATAGCCCTAAGATGTTTTCAGTTAAGTGTTTAGATGAATCACTAAAATGTTATGTGTGAAGTAGTAGCACATTTCAAGAGCTGGCTTTGTAACAAAACAAATTTTGATCTTGGGCCTCTTCTTAGAAAGATTCTTTTTAAAGCTATCACAAAATGAAACAAAATCCAAATCGAAGTGGTGACATCTACATTTCCCAATGTGTTGCTATTGAAGTTTCTCTAATTTTTGTATGGAGATAAATCAAGCAATGTCTGTTAAGTACATAGGTACAGTTTTTATTTGGGGTAGAGGGATTGTTACCTAGGAAGGCAAAACTCTAGAAGCTAGGGTTTCTTGAAGGTTATGGGTTGTTTGACTCTCTTTAAAGTATTTGCTTTATAAAAAAATACTTATAAGGATGAGACCTAATTACCTTTGTGTTTTCTAAGGCTAATTCTAGAATTTTGGAGGTGCATTCTTGCAGGAATATTTTTAGATTTGCTAGTTCTGTCCTTGTTTCTCTGCCTGTGACTGGTAACTATCTGTTGAATGAGTAAATTACAAATGTTTCTAAAAATTGTTCTGTCTTACTCTGACTCTCTAAAGCCAACCAGGCAAATTTTCTCCATTTCTCTATGACCATGGGACATTTTGGTAATTTTATGTTCTTCTTATAAATGGTCTTGCCTGTTGCCTTTCCTATTCATCTATGAGCATATTTAGGTGTCCACAACTCTAAGATGTAACTTTCTCTCTAAGCAACTAATTGTAGAAATCTTTGGATAGCTTCATTGGAATTTCTTGATTATTTCCAAGATGAGCTGCTTTAGGCCAAATTCAGCCCTCCCATAACCAACACAAAATCATCACTGACAGTCATAATAGTTTGCATAAATGTTTGAGAGGGAACCTGGCCTTCTGTGAAGAATGGAAAGAAATTGTGTAGCATGAGTGGTTTAAGTTCTGAGTACTTTGGCAAAGTATCCTGCTTCATCTGAAAAAAAATCTGATGGAAGTATGAGTTAGAATCTCTTATTTACCTGAGGCCTAGACTAAGTTAAACTAGTTCTGTTTCCTCCAGTCCTGTCACCCAGGCTGGAATGCAGCAGCAAGATATTGTCTCACTGCAACCTCCTCCTCCCAGGTTAAGTGATTTTCATGCCTCAGCCTCCCAAGTAGCTGGGATTAAGGGCATGTACCACCACACCCATGGGGTTTCACCATGTTGGTCAGGCTGATCTCGAACTCCTGGCCTCAAGTGATCTGCCTACCTTGGTCTCCCAAAGTGTTGGGACTACAGGAGTGAGCCTGGCTGTTGCCTCTAGTTCTAACCTCCTTCCTCTCAGCAATTCTACAGCTCTGAAGAAACTAATAGTGTCAAGATTAAGTTACAGTATTTTATGAATGAATCCCCAGCTTTGATGGATATATTTTCTTTAGGATCACTGGTCAATATTGCTTCCTTTGATATGTGATCTAAAGGTTTTATTCAAATATGTAGACATCTTAATACATCCAGAGATGATCATATTATAAATGAGATGCATATCTAATTTGAAATCATTGCAAAGTGGTTGTAAGCACTTTGAAAAAAAATCCTGATATGTTTTAAACACTGAGAGCCATGCATAATCTATCCAAAGATTACTCGTTCTAGATATTTGCAAACTCTCTTTGACAAGGTCCAGTTTCTTTAATTGATTCACTGTGAGATAATCTACGTGAAGTCTTAAAATTCCATGAAGCTGAAATTTATTATTAACCTTTCAAAAATTTGCGATGTCATATCGAAACTCCAAAAGGAATGCAGAAGAATATAGTTCTTAAACTAGAGAATAAAATTGCAGAATATCGCAGTAAATTAACTTTAGGGATACTCTAAGAATGAGAGTACTACGCCCTTGGGGGATTTTAGAGACATTCAGTTATGCATTTGGCCTCATAAAACCCTAGGGCTGTGATGATTACATGATAGAAACACCCTCTGTTAAGCATTACCAAGTGCACAGTCCGGATGATTTTCTTAGGAATTGGGGGGGGGAGGTAGGCAAAAAACAAGTATAAAGTTTCCTATTTTGGGGGTTTGCACATAAACTGCTGTGTTATCAGTCAGATTTTCTAATAGCAAATGGGCTGTGGTAGTTCTTGGAGAATGCTAATGATGCCAGGTTAGCAGATGGGCATTATTTGAAAATAAAATATGATTTTCAATTAATTTTCTTTAATTTTGCATTAGCTAGCGAGCTACTTTCCATATTCAGAACTTTTAAGACGTTTGCTACGTAATTAGAACATGTTTAAGGTTCCTGTTAAGGAAGAAAAAACCTCTATGGATTCATGTTTCCCACCTCTATCCCCCATAGCTATCCTTATTGCTTAAAATGTAACTGGAAAATAATAAGTACCCACTACAAGTTTATCCACTCATTCATCATAATGAATGGACAGGGCCCGCAATACACAAGGCACCAAGCAAGGTACAGGGAATATAGGTTAGTTTCTGCTCTTAAAGAATTTACAATCTGTTGGGAGGAAAAATGTTGAATTTAGTCACAGAGTGACTCAAGGCTGAGTAGCTGAATGGAAGGTGAAAAGTGGTGAGTAGAGATTTGTCTCTGCTTCTTAATAACACTTACATGGTGTTTTTGCAATGCTGATCATCTTTTGCTGAGAAAAGATTTGAAGATTCTATCCTGATGATCTGCTCAAATTCTTCTGAAGGAAGCCCCAGAAAGACAAGGAAAAAGTCAAAAGAGACTTGTGGCTCCTTCTCTCGTCTCTTAGAGACGAAATCTGAACCTGGAGGATGTGCCGTATTGAAGGGATGGACAGAGCAAAGAGTGAAAAGACAACAACCTGGGGTTCTACTTCTTCCTTTTAATTCACCTCTTGTAAGCCTCTAGACATGTTCCTTGATTTCTCTAGTCCTCACCTATAAAACAGGGACAATGACGCCCAACAGAACAAACTTCTGATGGAAGAAAATGCAATAGAAGATAAGCAGAGTCTCTGAAGACAGGGTGAGGGAGCTGTGCATGAGTAGAGAGCCATAGGGCTGGGTGAAGGCAGGGGACTTACTTCGGAGTAGGACCCTGCCAAAGAGGCTGTGATCCCTGTCCAGGGTGTTGCAATTCCAGCGGTGCTGGCGGAACTGGTGCTGGCATTCCGCTGTCCACTCGGCCACGCCCTGACTAATGGCACGCATCACATCTGGATGTCTGTGACACAGCTGCCGCTGGCTGCTCACCAGGCCTGGCACATTATCGCACATCACCCTGGAGGAGCCACCTGTAGCTCTCATGTACCTATAAGGGACAAACCAACACAGAGGTGAGGGCAACATGAACAGAGAGGCCTGACTCGGTGTTCCTGGGAGACTAAGGAGTTCAAAGCACTTTTCAAATATGAATTCCTTATCCTTCTGGTGGTATTAGAAAGCAAGGGTTTTTACTTTTTAATGTAGTGGAGAAACAGCCAAGGCAGGCAGGCATAGTGAGTGATCTTGCAGAAGTCATCCCCAAAATGCTGTGATGACTTCTGTTGGACATGAAGCTAGGTCCACCAGATGATGCTCTGGGCGGGGGGACAGAGGCAAGGTTGGCATCTGGGGAAATGAATGATGGGTAAGAAGCAATGTATCTTAGGGAGAATGTGTGGAAGACTTTTCTTAAGAAGGTTCAGATCTCAGTGACACAATGTGTCTGGACTTGGCTTTGAGGGAAGCTGACCTTAGAAGCTCTTCGTTCCCATTTATTTGACAGAACGTCTTAAGAACTGTCTGTATCTGTCTAATCAACACCTGCTGGTATCTGATGTTACACTCTCCTCACAGACAGGCTGTTCTTTCCTTACTGAAGAGCCTTTTAAACATTTCCATTTTGTAGCTCTTTTTGGCTTTTATAAAGATCCTTTGGAAAAAATTCTTTCTATTGTTATTAAGGACACTAAATGTTTGGAAGAATCAAACAGTGTTATAGCTCCATAAAGTACTTTTTGAAAAGAAACTTTAACAAAAAATTACATCATCATCTCTACCCAGATGTTCTCTATTAGTCGTGAAATGTTTAGAAAGGTACCTTTTATATAACCCAAGCTGCCATAGGTGTCTTTTGAAGCGATCAAACAAGGAGAATGTCTTTTTCTTGTATTTTCATTATTTTATATGATCATAAAATCGTTACAGCTGTGACTTCCAAAAAATATATTTAAGTGACAGCTGAGAGACAATGTGACAAAAAGCCGGAGCAATAAATAATGTTTATACACCCATGGAAACAGAAATAGTCATTTTATTGAAAAATGGTCAGTCTGATAAATCAATCTTTGATCCTGTGTCAGCAATGTCAAGGCTAAACGCCTCCCTGTTCAAAGCCGGCTTAGGAAGGAATTGAACCCCTCTTCCCATCAGCGCATTGCCTTGCTCCTTTGAAGAGCTCCAGTGTCTTCCTAAACATTTCCCTGCTCTAGACTGTAATTGAGCTGAGACCCCTTACCAGATTCTTTAAAAATTAGCCCACAATAACGGGTCTCTCTGAATCAATATTTTAATATCTGTTCTGAAACTTTTAGGTGCAAGGAAATTACAGGGCTATCAACTCTATCTCTTTCCAAGACCAGAAAGTCGGCAGATGAAGAACAGTTTCTAGATGGGGAGGGAATCTGCCTTTGGAACTTTTAGCGACCTGTTATGGTTCAACATTCCATCACTATGCAAAAATAAATAAATTGCAGACCAAAGTACAAAGGAAAGCAGCAAAGTTACTCTTTGCGGGGACGGTTGTGAACAGGGTAACATCTTAGAGACAGACCCGGGGTTGTAGCTTTGCATTAAAGCCATAGTCTCTACCTGGAGGCAGCAAAATGTTCTTCCGCCCCACTGGGGTGAACCTGGAATGTGGAAGGACGGGAAATAATACAAAATCACACGCTTTGGGTTCTACAACTCCTGACTGCCTGAATTGGCCCGTCGATTTACCTTGAGGCAGTTTTGGGAGGGGGGTGGGGCGGGGGAGGCGGTTGTAGTTTTCAAGGTGAATTTACACACACACACACACACACATACACACACACACGTCTGTGCTAGAGCTGCAGACCGGGCTAGCACGTCTCTCAACAGGATAAGAAATTGGCTGATTTTGCTGTCGCTCAGCTGGATCCAAATAAACCAAACATCGGAACTCTCATTTGGTGGGGGAATGTGGTTTTATGGAGTTGTCAAAGCTGAAATGATCTTCCGGGAAAAGAGAAGGGGCTCACCATGGGGCGATAAGAGGGCAGTAGCCAGGGTTCGGGCCAGAATCCGAGACTGCTGCGGCCGCGGGGAAACGCAGCCAGGAAGGGTCTATGTGGCCAGTGAGGTCCCCACTCCGATCTCCAAAATACCCCGGCGGTCGCGCGCGTGTACTTACCACCATGAAGAGTTGACCTCGGGGGTGAGCCAGGTCAAGAGCAGAGGGAGCCAGAGCCAGATTCCACCGAGAGGGGCGTTCATATTAACCCCCTTGCGTCTGCATCAGGTCAGACTCCGTGTGCGGGCGCCATGCGTGCCCAGAGCAGAAGCGCTCAGCTCCGGGAGCGCCTCGTCACGGCCGCCGGCGCCTCGCCGCGCCCCCGCCCCCCGCTCGCGTCTGCGACGAGTGGCGAGACTCGCTGATAAAGTTTCAAACGATGGGCCCGGCGAGCGATAAAGGCCAGCCCGGGCCGCCTCGCCCACAGCCCAATTCCCCAGGCGCGGCGAGCGCCTGCAGCCCGAAAGCTCTGCGCGCCTCCCGCGCGCCCCTGTCAGCTCTGCTCCCCTCCGGGCGCAGCCGAGGGAGGGGGTGCTGCGCCTGGCGGGGGTGGGGAGAAGCGCGGGGTTTTAGACAAGGGTGCATGAAATGATGGCAAGAGATATCTGGGGATGAGGTGAGGCGGGGAAGGGGGAACACCGCTGCATGGTTACGAGCACACGCGAATACAGGCACCTTTAGGGAAGCTGGGGCGAAGAGCATCCGTGGGCTGTAGGGGCGCGCGGTCCGGATTGCCGAGGCCATCCGCTGGCAAACAAGTCCCTAAGCGTGCAATGTGGGGCAACGAGGAAGGGGGCCGGGGGCATGGGATACAAGAATCCAGAGATGATTCTCAACTCATTGCTTCGCTTCTCTCCCTGACGCTGGGATGAAGAGCTAGCACTTGTAAATTTGGAGCTGCCGCGTCTATGCAGGGCAAGATTAGGGAGGGGCCAGGCCTCAGCGAAATGACCTGTTGGCTTTGATTCCTTGGTGCTGGGCTTATATACAGAGCCCATAGGGAGGAGAACTTAGAGGGTACATGACCCTCGGGACCTAACCCAGCAGTATCTGCCAAAGTAACCAGGAAAGATGCAGTTTTTACGCATATCCAGCTCCTCTCCGGAGCTGCGGAGCGCAAAAGATCACCTAGAGAGGAACCGAGGCAGCCAGGCGTTCGCCGGGGGTGTGCGCCCTTGCACCTCCCGCCGCCCGTGTGCGCCCTTGCACCTCCCGCCGCCCGGGCGCTCAGCCTGTGCGCCTTGTGGAGGTTAAGGGACCCTCGGTCCTGGACCTGGGCCCCCGCCCAGCCAAGAGAGAGGGGCTCGGGCCCGCGGGTGGAGCATTTTGAGCAGTAGCTGGCTTGTAGCAGCGCCGTTTATCACCGGAAAGGAAGGAAGACCAGGAACTCGTGGCGGCCGTGAACTGTTCCATTGCTCTTTTCCTGGGGTGGAGGGACTCACTGCCCGCCCGAGGAGCGTGCTCTGGGGAATAGAGTGTGCGCCTGTGTGTGTGTGTGGGAGGCGAATTGTTCGCAGGGCGTGGGGGAGGGGGTGCCGCCCAGATCGGAAGGACGAGCTCTCCCTCTCTCCCGCCCACCCTCGGGCCTGGGCTGGCCAGAGCGTCAGCCCTCGCCGGCCACTAGCGCGGTGAGAGGCTGGACGAGGCGAAGCTCAGAGACGCCAAAAACCTGAAAGATGCTGTCATCGCCACCCCCTTCCCCCACGCTGGTCCCTGGCAGGTCCGGCCCCTCCCAGGCTGACCCAGATACATCCCCGTTTGGGTCCGGAAAGGGAGGGGAGGGAAACAAGCACCGCGCCACCCACGACTCGGGAAGAGGAGGGCTCCTCGCCAGGGCCGCTCCGTATCGCTGGGCCGCGACCCAGGGAAGTTCTGCTTGGTCTGCGTCGGGCGGGCGGGCGGGAGGTGCAGGGAGGGTGCATGCGGCGGCAGGCGGCGGGGCGGGGGAGAGTTTCTGCTCGCCGTGTGTGCACGCCGGCCATGGGGAGGGTATGATAGGCACCGGAGAGCAACACGTCTCTCATGTACCTCCATGCTTCTGCTCACAAACCTCCTTCCCCCATGAAGCAGGGGAATAAACTAAAGCTTACCTCCACTCTTCTTTGTCCCGCAGTTTCTTGAAGTAAATCCAGACACTTGGGAAAGAAAAGGTGGTTGGCTCCGAGGAACCATAAACATTGCCAAAATCCAAAATTTCACTTCTACCGTGAATAAAGTAGGAGTGTGGATGTGTATGTTGGGAAAGGTAGGCAGTTGTATGATTCTCTCATGGAGAATACGATTTGAAACCACCTAAAAACTCCAACTCAAGTTCCACCCATCTCAGCACATCGTGTCCTCACAGCTAAGGGGTGTTAGAAGTACATGGAATGTGACCATCAGCTTACAGGCCTTTCCTCTCCGCCCGGGGAATTAGTGAGTGGCCAGGAGACCTGCCCTTCAGTTGATGGTGAGGCCAATGGAATGACCTAAACCTGAAACAGACCTCCTGGAAAAGGAATGGACCATCCCCAAAAACTAATGAAATCCACGCCAGAGGACCTCATCCTGGGGCAGGAGGAGGAGGAGTGCCACATGTCTCGCAGAGAAGAAATTGGTTTTGGTGAAAGGCAAAAGGCTGAAAGTGTTCGAGTGAAGCTAAATCCAGATGTGAAAAAAGGGTCCACCCAAACACCCCTTCCTGACCTGTCTAGAGGCCGTCTGGACTCAATGACTTGTCTCTTCCAGATCTGTGATTCCATTTCCCTCCCATTCTCCACCCCTTTCACTTATGAACCGTTACTTAGCTCCATCATAACTTCTTGTCCTGCCAAGAAGGCCTTTACTCACTCCTTGTCTGTAGTTATTCTCTCAATGGACCCGTTCACTTTGAAGATAAGGTGTTCACTAGTAGACATAGTTAGGAAATGCTCAAGAAAATTAGGAGGAAAGAAGGTTACAGCAAACCTTACTTATTTTACAATCAAAACTACCATCCTAAAGAAGAGTTAATAAATAATGAAGTAAACTGCATATGACTTCAGCCTCGCTATAGCAGATGATGAGGTAAGGAAAGAAAGGGTCACAGTGTCTTTAGATTTATTAATTTAAACATCTGATTTTTGATTTCTTCAATGAGAAATCTCAGAATTGACTGTAAAATTCATTTACAGTATACAGAACCCAATTCTGTTTCTGGAGCTTAATGTTAGTTTGCTTATAACTTCTGTATAGCACTGTAGCCAAATGAGTCAGTCTATTTTCTTAGTTAGATCCATTGTTTGTCTAATCTCCCAGGGCAGTGTAAGAGAACTCATTTACTACTGAGCCATCTCCACCCTTTAAAAATGGAGAGTTACTTCTCAACCAAATAGTCATTTGTCTTGCAGTCTGAACTGGCTTTTTCTTCAGGCAATAACTCCTAAGATAGCCACTCACTAACCAAAGGATAAGTGATAGTATCAATCATTTAAATCTCAGTGTGCCTTTAAATTAAAGTGTACCAAAGTCTTTTGCTTCCAGCCATGAGAGAGTAACAAGTACCTGAGTAGCTCTCCTTCTCAGGTATTGGACAGTAGGCCCCACACGGCTGTGATCCTTGAGAGAAGGGAAACATATTGAGTTTGCTCCACAACTATCCTGTAATTGTCCAGGTTTTTCTGCTGAAGAGAAAAACGTTTTTCTGCTGAAGAGAAAAACGTTTTTCTAGAATGTAGGAAGGTAGAACACAGGTAAGGCAGAAGTTTCAGTTAAGTGGGGGAGAGACTGGAGTTTTGGGTTGTTGAAGCAGCTGAAATTTCTGAAGATAGGTAGTTATGGAAAAGGGACTCCCCCACAAGTCTACATGGAGATTCACCACCAGTCCTTGGCCAACAGCTGAGCTGAATATAGACATGACAAAACTCTGCAAGGCCTAACACAGATTACCTGCTGCATGTAGTGCATTGTTGAGAGACGTTGGAGTTCCATCGCAGCAGGGCAGCGAGACCTCATTGAGCACTTCAGGGATTAAATTGAGATGCTAGAAAGGCCTTGCCTTAAAAGCAACAATCAGGCGAAAAAGCATGTCTTAGAGCAAAATTCAAAATCTTGTTTCTCCATAGCACAAACTGTAACGAAGAATAATATGAAATCAGACAGGACCAGGGAAATTTATAAGAATGAAACAACACCCATTAAGAGTAAACAACATGATACAGACTCCCTACAATGGATAATTAACAACAAAAAATTTAATAGGCTGGACACGATGGTGCACGTCTATAGTCCCAGCCACTTGGGAAGCTGACAAGGGAGGATCACTTGAGCCCAGGAGTTCAAAACCAGCCCAGGGAAACATAGCAAGACTCTGTTTCTAAACAAACCAACCAACAAACCCAACAAACAAATATAGACAAGTGAAAAACACACAAAAGTGACCTATACTGAAGAGAAAACAGTCAATAGAAACTGATCCTGACATGGCCCAGATATAGGAGGAATTGGCAGGAAAGAATAAGTAACTATTATAAATATGTTCAGGTATTTAAAGGAAAATGAATGAACAAGTGGAAAATGAACAAATAGAGAATCACAGTAGAAAAATGGAAGCCAAAAGAAAGAAATGAAAATTCTAAACCCCATTAGTATAATTATCTAATTTGCAAAATTTGTACTTTCTGAAATGGAATTCCAGAAAGAAAGCAGAAAGAAAATGGGGCAAAAAAAAAAATTGGAAATAATGCCCCAAATTTGGCCCAGATGATGGGAAGCATAAATTTACCAATCTAAGAAAGGTGGAAAATCCCCAAAAGAATAAATAATCAGCATATCACACTGGCACACACCAAACTATTTAAAACCATAGATGAAAAATCTCTAAAGCAGCCAAAGGAAAAAGATATATTAAATATAGGAGAACAAGAATATGAATTACACCTGGCTTTTAATCAGCGATAATGGAAGTCAGAAGACAATGGAATGACATCTATAACATGCTAAAAGAAAAAAAAAATCCACATAGAAATCTATAATCAGTGAAAATACCCTCTGAAAATGAAGTGGAACTCTTTTCTTGCTTCTTCTTCTTCACTTAACCTTAGGAATAAGAACCACATTGCATGAATAAGAACAAAATGAAAACAGAACAGCCTGAATGAAGTCTAAAGCCAACCCTAGACAGGATCAAGATTTTCCAGTGGTACTTTTTTTGCTATCCAAAAAAAAACTCCACCCTCCATGTTTTGTTTTGTTTTTTTTAAGACAGAGTCTTGCTCTGTTGTCCAGGCTGGAGTGCAGTGGCATGATCTCAGCTCACTGCAACCTCTGCCTCCCTGGTTCAAGCAATTCTCCCTGCCTCAGCTTCCCGAGTAGCTGTGATGACAGGTGCTCACCACCACACCTGGCTAATTTTTGTATTTTTTAGTAGAGACATGGTTTCGACATGTTGGCCAGGCTGGTCTTCATCTCCTGACCTCAGGTGATCTGCCCACCTTGGCCTCCCAAAGTAGTGGGATTACAGACATGAGCCACCACATCTGG